AATAAAGAATAAAAATTATATATTTATAACTTATGAGTTTTGTTCTAAGAGGAAGATTCAAAGTGGAATCTTTTCTTGATATCATTTAATTATAAATAAATATTTTTTATATCAATATTAATATTTAATAAGAATATATTGAATCAAGCTCTTTAATTTAGTGGCTAAGGTGCGCTGGACCATAAGCCTACGAGTTTAGGTTTTTTTTTATCATTTTTTTAAGGTTGAATATAAATACAAGGTAAAACAATTATTAGATTTAATTGAGTTTATGGTTTTAGTCACAAGTTTAACAAGTTAAATTACAATAATCAGATATTTTTTTTTATATTGCATTTTTTTAGTGGTTTTATTTTTTGATATATCCTTTTTAAAAATAATTTTAAATTTATGTTTCATTAATATCTCTCATTTGTTATTCTTTTTGTTTATTTAATCTTTCTGAATAGAAATTATTTTTTGATTGTGTCATGCATATTTAATTTTTGAAAAAATTAATATGATTCATCTATAGTTTTTTAATCTTTTTGTATGCAAGTACTTTATTTTTAAAATTTTTAAAATATTTATTTTCAAATAATATTTCTAATATGTGCATTGTTACATAATATTCTTTTTCACCTTTTTATGCAATTGATTTAATATGAGTATCTATTTTTAATATCTTTTGATTGAATTAAAAATTAATTTTAATAAATAAATTCAATAAACAAAATCAAGTAAATGTTCTGTTTGTTAACACATTTAATTTTTTTAATTTAATTTTTAGTTATTATTAATATTTTCTTATATTTATTAATATAAATAATTCTTGATTTATTTAGTTATATGTATTCATGAACTTTTTAATTTATACTTTAAATCTTTTTATATACAAAAATACATAAAAAAGTCTGCATGTATATTTGTTTTGTAAGAAAAGAAGTATGAGTTCTAACAAAATAGGCCAAGTGAAGCCAAAGCTTAGTAGTGCTTGATTCTTTTTCTTTCCCCTTCAAATTAATGCTTTTTTTTTATATGTATTTTTTAAAATTTGTTTATTATATTTAAATTAATATCCTTTTTTTATTGTTTAGAGAGCTTGTTTGAAATGATAATTAATTTTTAGTTATGCATTTTATTTTTTAAGATATTTTTCTAATTTTTCTATAATTTTTTATCTTTTATTTCTATAATTTTATTTTTTAAAAATAAAAAGAATTATTTTTAAATAATATTTATAATATATAAAGCCCTACATAGTATTTTGTTTCCTTTTTATTTTACTTAATCAAATCAAATTATGTCTTTATTTTTTTTTTTAAATAAAAAAAATCAGTTTCATAAATAAATCTAACAAATGCTACTGTATAAATATCTCTTTTTACAAGACTAAATATTTTGATATATGTATCTATCTCTTATTTTATATATTTATTGTTTAAGATTTTTTAATTTATTAACACATATAATTTTTTGATCTATTTAAGTAAATATATGCAAAAAAAAAATCTACATATATAATTATTTTTTTATTTGAAAAAAATTATCTCACCCGCACCTAAGTTTATTAGAAGAGAAGCAAGGACATACAGTGATTTCCTTATCATCATCTTTTACTTCGGGATTTGAAGTAGAGAATTCATGCTCAATTATGATTTATGTTTTATTCAATTGTAACAGTATCTTTGAATTATGGATTAATTATAAAATGAAATTAAGTTTTTTTTTTTTTACAATTTTAACAGAGTATTTTCACATAAATACAGTGCATTTACATAAATTATTTTCTTTGAAATGTTAACTTTTAATATTTAAATTTTGTAATTTAAGAAATAGAACAAATCTCTATAATTTGTAACAATGCTAATTGTTATGGTTCCAATGACCAACCAATTCTGGAGGTTACCGTTTGAAAATGGCTGTGAGCCAGTTCCAATCGAGGTGTATGGATAGTTTTAAGGTAGGAAGAAGAAGAGGAAGACAAGGATAGAGATGGAGGGAGTTTGAATGACATTTGTGCTAATTTATTATGTTTTTTTTTGTTAATATATTAAAATATTATTTTTAATTTTAAAATTAATTTTAATATCAACACATTAAAATGATTTTGAAAATATAAAAAATTTAAAATAAAAAAACTCTAACCTATTTTAAAAATACTTTATTTTTTTATTTTTAAATTGCACTTCATTGCAAACATAATTAAAGAAGCTTATTAATAAAATGATGCGCATGAGTTGTAAATGAAACGCAGCGTATTGACTCCATTTACAAGAGCAACGATCTTCCATTCAAATCCAGTCCTCCAAGTCCTTCTATTTTTTTCAAATATCAGCAACCATTTCGCCTCTGGTATCCCCTTGTAACAATTTCCCCCCTTCAAACACACCTCCTCAAAGGCAAATCCTGGAAATCTGAGAGATAGTTCATCCGTAAACTCCCATGTAACCTCCGATGGTGGACATCCCTTCCAAAGTACAAGAACCTGGGTAGCTGCTTGGTTACGTCTTTTCACCATTCATCAATCCAAGATGGCTTGAGGTTGCAGGGGAGGCTCCAGTGACTCTACAGGTAAATCTTCTTGCCCTCTTCTATTTCCAACCAGTCATTTCAATTGCGAAACATGGAATAATGGGTGGACTGTAGCAGTGGTGGGTAAGCAAAGTTTGTATGCAACTGCTCCAATTCATTCAGTTATTTGATAAGGCCAAAATATTTAGCTGCTAGTTTCTGTGATTTTCTCGGCGCTATTGGATTCTGCTTGTAAGGTTGTACTTTAAGATAAGCCCAATCTCGGATCTTGAATATCCTCTCGCTTCTCTTTTTGTTTGCTAACTGCACCATCATGTGCTGGGACTTCTTTAGGTTATCCTTGATCAACTAAAGCATCTCCTCCTTTCTGGTTAAGAACTCATCAGTTGACTCAGTAGTAGAATCCTTGGGAAAATAGGGAGTGTGAATGAGAGTTATTTTTCCATACAAAATTTCATAATGAGTTGATTTGATGGAGGAGTGGTAATCAGAATTATACCACCATTCGGCTAAAGAAAGCCACTGAGACCACTGATTAGGAGTGCTACCCTAGTCATGCATCTTAGATAAGTCTCCAGACATTTGTTAACTACTTGGCCATAGAATAGAGTAAGTCCACCTTTTGATAGGCAAATAAATTCTTCTAAAACTGACTTAGGAAACTGAATCTCTATCACTCACTATAGTATCAGGTAGACTATGCAATTGAGAGACATTTTCCATGAACGCAGTGGCTGATGTAAGAGCAGGGTAACGATGAGCTAAAGCCATGAAATGTGCGTACTTACAAAGTCTGTCTACTACCGCAAATACAACTTCTTTGCCACAAGACTTAGGTAAACCTTCTATGAAGTCCATGTTAATGTTAATGAAGAGTGCTTGAAGGATTGGTAGAAGCTGTAGCAACCCAGGACTAGGTACATTCTCAAGCTTATTCCTCTGACAAGTAGGGCATTCTCTTACATATTGCCTAACATGTTTATGTTGCCTCTTCCAGTAGAATAAACTCTCCTCCCTTTTAGTGTTGATAGTAGCTCCTAAATGTCCCCCAGAGTAGAATCATGAAACATAGAAATCAACTCACTCTGCAACTCAAGGTCATCTCCTACCATTATCTTCCCCTTTCTTCAAGTGACTGTTCACCCATTTGTAGTAACGATGTGATGTGGGAACCTTTTGTATATCCTTAATAATAAACTGTATTGCCTTATCCTTCCTCCATGAACCGGTGGCCTCATCTATAATAGAAGTAGAGATTGTAAAAACTGCAATGGTAAATAGTTACCCACTAGAGTTCCTTGAGAGGGCATCCACAGCTACATTGTCTCTTCCTTTGTTGTATTATATATCATAATCAAACCCCAATAACTCAACCAACCATAAATTCTGAGAGGTGAAGATACCTTTTGTTCCAAAAGTTACTTAAAGCTAACATGATCAGTCCTGATCATAAAATGCCTTCCCCAAAGATAATGTCTCTATTTGCTCATAGCATGTAAGATTGCTAACATTTCCCGCTCATAAGTCAATAGGGCTCGCTGCCTTAGACCTAATAATATGATTATATAAGCTATAGAGTGCCCTTCTTGCATTAGTAAAGCTGCAATACCCATCAATAAGCATCAATTTCCATTACAAATAGCTTATTAAGGTCAGGTAAGGCTAGTACAGGAGGTTGGGTCATAACCTTCTTGATTTGATTGAATGCCTCTGCTGACTCCACTGTCCATTTAAAAGCGTCTTTTTTTAGCAATTAGGTTAATGGCTTGCAATAGACCCATTCCCCTTTACAAATTTTCAGTAGTGCCCTGTAAAACCAAGGTACCGTCTTAACTGTTTAAAACTCCTGGGAGGAGGCCAATCCCCTACAACCTGAATCTTCTATATCAGTAGATACCCTTTTTCAATGCTTTAATTGCTTTGCCATAGAATTACTATAAATCATTATATCATTAAAAACACCAACACAAATTTCTTTCAATACCTTCTAAACACATGGTAAGGTGTGCTAGAGGTAAGGTAATATTATCTTTTATATACTTAACCATCCAAACTTTAAATATCAATTAGAATTTCTTTTAAGATTTCTTTTAAAAATTTTATTTATCAAAATACTAGATGGCCACTCTAAATCTTTTAAGTCATAAAAAAATAATAAATTCTTATTTTTTTAGTCATAACCCAATTTTTAACCTTATTTTTTTAAAAAAATAGAAATAGCAAAAAACAAAAAAAACTATTTAAACATATTTTCAGCATTCTTAACATCTTTTAAAAAAGAATTTAAAATTCAAGAATTTGTTTTCAACGCTCACATTTCAAAATCATTATTATTTTTTATTGAGTCAGCCTTTTTTAAAAAATACCAAATTACATAAAAAAATAAAAATCATAAAAAATAAAAAATATATATGGACAAGAGGCCTAAAAATGCGAAGAAAGAAAATGAGGACCCATGTAAAAGCCCTCTCCACCAATAACAATCCAACAAGAAGATACCCCTCTCTCCCGTAAAACATCAAGTACAAAAATACGACCTCCTCCTTTCCAAGAAAAACAAGAAGCCTTCTCTCCCTCACAGCTGCCAGTCTTCCGCACCGTGAGCAGGAGTCTTCTTTTTAGTCAGGCCAGCTTCTCTTCTGTCAGCCGTGAGAAGTAGCAGAGGTTTTCAGCATCAGTCACGTCCAGCCGCCAAGCAACGTCTACCCCCTCTCCTCTGTTCACAGCAACTTTGTTTTTCTTGTTCCAACAGAGAGACTCCACTCACAGCAACAACATTGTGAACAACAACAAGAGAATTAGCTAGACCAGCAGCTTCAGCAGCAGCACAGTCAGCCTTTATTCATCTTCAACCGTTCCAGCAACAGTGAAGGATTTTCCAACAGCAGCTCAGCCTTCATCCTTTCAGCATCGACAATTGTTTCAACTGTGAGCAGTGGAGCTCCTCCTTCCAACAGCAGCAGAGATTGTTCTTTATCAGGCACACCATTTCTCAACTGTAGCAGAGTTTTTTCTTTTTCACCAGGAGCTCCTCCCCAGGGTCAGTCTCCACCCCAACACCAGCCGCCATGGTAGTGTTGCCACCAGTCACCTCACACAACATCCATGAACTCTAATAGAATATTCACCAGTTGCGGTAGAATCTCATTTTTTGCACCGTGAGCACCACCATCTCTCACCGTACTAATCACTCTACACCAGGAAGCTCCTCTCATTTCCACCATGAGCTTCAGTCATGATAGCAGTCCTAGGATACAACCTGTGAGCAGACTTCACTATTGGCAACAGTGCAGCCTGTGGTTTTCCTCTGTCAAGCAGACCAGCAACTCTCAGCCTAGCAACGTGAGCAGCAAACCTCTCTACACCAGCGTTTCAGCCATTCCTCAGCAGGAGTGCATTTTAATTCATATAGTTTTTCTTCTTCTTTTTTTTTTGGCCATTCGCAGGTTGAGTCCTTAAACTTGTCAAAACACTGCAAAATTTTCAATTGTTAGGTGCATTTACATCCTTTAAATTAGTTATTGTTCAGAAAATTACAATTTATATATTTATTTAATTTAAAATTTAAAATAAGATAACACAATAAATTTACGCACGTACTTTATATATCGTCCTTTTATTCAATCTCTTCCCCTTTATTCTTTCCTTCTGTCCCTTCCCTTCTTTCTTTTCATCTCATATTTGTCCCCATCAAAAGACAATAGACTACTTCAATCAAAAGATAGAAATTGCATATAAATTCACCAATTATCAATCAGTTATTTGTCTAATAGCAAGACTCCTCACGATTTCTCTCTTTTCAGACAAAAATCATTTCATCCTCCCTGAAACCCTAGTCACTATTCATCCTCCCCGGATTAGCAACCAAAGCCATGCCACCACCTCCAGAACAGTAGCCACGGTCATGCCACCGTCTACAGACAACAACCACCCACTGTTGACCAGTCACGACAGCATCTTCACATCCAGCCACCACGCTGTTGAACAACCCCACAACAATCAAATAACTCCAATAGAGTTTAAAGTAGACCCATGTAACAGCCACCATAACCAAGAAAAACAATCACTCTCTTTGCCTCATCTCCTCTATAAACCAGCAACTCTAGCCACCCTTTGCCTGAAATCAAACCAGAATTCTAGCCTCCACTACATCACCAACCAATCAACCTAAATCGAACCTAGACAAAACCCTTTGTTCTTTTGTAAGTTTCTTTTGTGTTCTTTTTTCTTTTCCTCTTTTTTCTAGTAATGTAACCTGGTGTCAATTTCATTATTTTAAGGTAACATTGGCTCTTTAGTTGTTAATTAGAATAAAGTGGCAATTTTGAAAATAATTCATATTTTTTTATTGATTCTTTTTACTCAAATTAGTGTGGATTTAAAATGTTATACAACTTATAAAATATGCAATATATACTATAATTTTTGAGAAAATTGAGGCAAAGTAAAAAAAAATAAAAAAATAAACAATATAAAATATAATTTAATTTTCTAGATCAGATTTTCTTAACAGTAAGGATTTTTTTTTTGTTTTTTTCTCATTTAATTCTATACACTTTTCACCGTAGCTCATTTTTATTTTTCTATTTTTCAAATGGTTTAACTTAAACTCTAATTATTAAATAAATAATAATAAAGTTATATCTCATTTGAGTTATGAAATATTTATATTGAAACATTTTATTTGAACCATGAGAAACACTTTATATTTTATATATTTCATGTCAACTTTTGTAATTGATTTTTTAGTGCACACAAAAAAATATTACAAAATATTTTTAATTTTTTCATTGTATAGTAAAATATAACCAAACAACCTATTTTCTCATAATTTATTTTTAGGACTTTTGACATTAAATACTTAATATCAGAAAATAATTTCCAACATATTTTTATGTTTTTAATCAATTTTTTAAAATTTATTTTCCATGAAATTTCAAGACAAATTCGCTCGCCCACAGACAACGTGCCTCAAAGTGATTGGTTGAGGTAAAACAAATATACTCAAGAGGGAATCTAGAATATGATACTCAGAAAATGGATAATGTTTATGGCTATCATGAGCTTCCTTTTCCCCTCAAAAAATAAAAAATAAAAAAATAAGAATTCTATCAAAAAATAAAAAATAAAAAAAATAAGAATTCTATTATTTCACATTTATCCCTTTCTCTTTACTTTAAATTTATGTTAATTCTTTTAATTTCTTCTCATTGGCCTCTCAAAAAATTAAAATTTCTTTTATTTTGGCCATATATTTTATTCTGAATTTGTGTTCATCCTCCCACTATTATTTTTAGCCTCGCCTCTTTCAATTTGAGCAAATAGAATTCAATAAAATAGTAAAAGAATATCCAGTGGTTTGTATCCAATCAATGCTTAAAATATGGGCATTGTACTGACCCAACAAATTCAGAGCCCAACAACAGCAACGCCTGACCAAAACATGCCGGCAATAGCAAAGCAGTGTTAACGGCCCTCATTTTAATGGATCAACCTTGTAAATTCAGGCAGGGTTTTGTATTAACCGACGGAGAGTTAATTTAATTAAATCTAATCAATATCTTGAAACTTGGTCAAGTTAAATATAATATAATTTTTATTTTTTTAATTTGTATAAGTTGTCATTTTATCATTTGTAACTTTGTTAACTTAGTTAAAATTTGAGTAAAACCTAGTTTACTTTTTAATATTTTTAAGTTTATGATTTGTTATTTTAGATTAAGTTGAATTAAATTATCTAACTCATTACCTATTTTTAAGTGAAATAAAGATTGAGGTGTGATATTTTTACTATAGAAGAACATTGTTCACACACTGATAGCTTATTATAAATTTATTATTTATTTTTTATTAGGTCATATTTGTTTTTTAGAAATTAATTTTTAGAAAACTACTTTTTAAACTCTTCTTATTAATTTTTAGAAAACTACTTTTTAAACTTTTCTTTGTTTGTTTGTCATTAGAAAAGTTGGTTAACGAAAAATACTTTCCAGTCAAAGAAATATTTATCTTGGTTTTCAGGAAAGTGTTTTCCTGAAAAATTTAAAGGGAAAACATTTTTTAGAAATCGTGAAAGATTTAGAAATGTTATATTATTTGATGATTATATTAAATTTGATCATCAATTAAAATGTATATTTTATTTTGAATATTTATTTTTTAATTTTATCTCTTAAAATTTATTTTTTTATATTAACTTTAGTCCTCATTTTTATAATTGTTATTTATTTTTCCTTTATTATTTTTTTATTAAAAATTTTTATTTATCAAATTTTTTTAAATAATAAAGCATTTAACATGATTTCATTTTAAAAAATAGAGCTTGTGCGTCAACTATTAGGGCTAGACGCTAGCCTAGCTTGCAAGGCCTAATGACTTTGTAATTTTTCTTTTTAAAAAATATATTGTTTTAGATTTGTTTTTCTTTAATATTTTTTTAATTTATATTTAACATTTCTCTCTAATTTCTTATTTTTCATGTTTACCCCTTTGTAAATAATAATTTTATATGTATTTAATTTTTGAAGAGATTATTCTAATTCAGCTATGTTTAATTTTATGTTTTATATAATTAAAATTCATTTGAAAAAATTTATTTTGAATAGTATTTTTAATAAGAGAACCTTGTGAGGTATTTTTTTTCATTTTATTTTTTCAATTAAATTTATGTGTTTATCTATCTCTATTATTATTTTATTAAATAAAAAATTAATTTAATAAATAAAATCATTGAATATAATTAGATAAGAGATCAAAATATCTTAATTTAGATTCGTTTCTCAATTTTTTTAAATATATATTTAATTGTTATTAATAATTTTTTTTATTTATTAACCTAAATAGTTTTGGACTTTATGTACATAAATTAGTTTTTATATAAACTTAATAATTTTTATGTAAAAAAAAACATGTATGTTCAGTCTTTTTCTTGGAAAGAAAATATATTCAAATAGCAAGCTATACATAGACGACGGACTCCTTCCCTAGTCTCCAAGCATCGTTGATTGTCGATCCTACACCACCACTGCTCCTACCAACTTCCAAGAATATCCCAACTATTTAGGTGGTGGCCAAATGATAAAAACTTAGGATTAAGGGATTTGTTTTCTTTGTGATCTCAGATTCGAGTTCTTGGTTGCTCATATGATGGCCACTGGAGACTTATATGATCGTTAACTTCAGGACCCGTGAGATTAATCGTGGTACACGCAAGCTGTCCGAACACCCACATTAATTAAAAAAAACTTCCAAGAATATCCCACACAACCACTCGACAAACGTGTGACATTTGTGAAACAGAGGAAAAACAAGACAGAGAAATGGCCGCTACAAGCTCCTGCAATTTCAACTGGGGAGTGAATGGAAAAGGGACCCCTGAACAGCCTTGTTCTTCCTCAAAGTCCTCCCAGATCCTCTTCTCTTCTAACTTATCTTTTTGTTACAGTAACATCAGATATTGCCTCTCTCTTCGTTCCCATCAAACCCTTTTGTCCACTCGTTTCAACGAAACCAAGAATTCAGCTTTTGTGAGTAAAAAAGATTTCATGTTTTCTGTATTTTGGATTTCACCATGATTGATATGTTGTTAATTGAGAACCCGAACTATAGGGTTTTGTTGTTGTTAGATGATTTTGTTTGGCTTCTTTTCTCCTTTTTTCCCGATAATTTTTATGTGTGTGTTGTTTGTGCAGGTTGTGGCATCAGCAAAGGCAGACCCATTGAAGATAATGATTTCCGGAGCTCCTGCTTCTGGTAAAGGTACTCAATGTGAGCTCATCACTAAGAAAGTAAGCTTTTTTTTCCTTATATTTATTTTGATCTCCTGTACTCTCTGTTGCTCAGCTTCATTAATCCTTTCTTTAGGGAGCCACTTTTAGTTTCCCTCACTTGTTAATTATGTTTACTGTTCTGCCTACGAAAGTGTGGCTTTTTAAAGAATTTCTTTTCATTGTAATGCGTGTATCTTCCTGGGATTTCTTTGGATTTTTATCCGGTGAAGGTTTGAAGAATCTGATCTAGACATTGTGGTTCTAATGTTAATGACAGCATGTTCTTCGATATGAATTATCTATTGAGTGTGTTAACAGTGAGTTATATTGTTAGTTTAATATGTTGTATAATTGATGTTATTATATTTATTTAATTGTATATTTATTATTAATAAAATTTAATTTATTTTTAATATTCATCTAATATTAATAAATCTAGAGTAAAAATAAAGTCCATGAACAAAAATACTTTGCAAAAAAAATTATAAAATTATTATAATTATGAGATTTATATTATATCAAATCATTGCTCTTAAAATATTCCTAATTGATACTCTTTTAAATATTGAACATTTATTAGAGCTACAGAGACGGATACATGTTGTATTATTTTCTTTTTGAAAGGAAGTAGTTGTTCTCATAAATTAAGATATAAAAGATACCTAGAACTAATATGTAGGTGCTTGTTATAAAACATGTACACTAAACTGACCTTTATGAGAACTCCATATGGAGATATTACTTGTGTTTATGGAAAGACTCACATGACAGTTATGTAAATGATCCTTAGACTTGAGACTACTAAGTTATTTTATATAGAGTGTTATGTTTTAATTCTACTACATGTTGTCTTGGTATAGGTAACAAATGAGTAGATATTGGATATAACATAAACTATATGAATAAATTTGAGTGATCAAGAAAGTAGTAGATATTGGATATAACATAAACTATATAAATAAATTTGAGTGATCAAGAAAGGATTCAACACCCCATGTGAATTAATAAAAATGTTCCACATGTTCTCAAATAATATTGTTTGTTAAATCCTTGCACAAGGTGGAATAAAATTTGAAAAAAAAATATATTCAAATTATCAATGTTTATAATATTGCGAACAATTATGATTTGAAATAACAGACACACTCTATGCTAAAATATTTAAATCAAAACATTATTGATGGAGGGATAATAATTATATTGAAAAACTAGTCACTAAAAGGTTAAATCAAATCACTTATAACTCTCTTAATATTTAGGAGATCATGACGCGTTGCTAGACGATGCACTTGATCTTCAAATATAAATTAATCAATTACTGAATTGATAATAAATTAAACTGTTTGATTTATTTAATTCTATTATTTTATAATTATAATTTATACTTGGACCAACATGTTAGGAACCTAAAGAGTCACATACATTAAGAATCATTAGTTAGAAGTTAAACTGAGATAATTAATTAAGTGTGACTTGATTGCAAATAATTTTAGAAATTAAGTACTAAAATTTATTTAATTTAGGGATTATAATTTTAGTCCAAAAATAATCAAGTAGGGATTTGATTGATTAAGTCTCTAAAATTATCCTTTAATAATGTATGAATATTATTTAAGGAGCAAATGGATATTGTGATTTATAGGGTTTTTAGGATTCCTTATAAATATAAAACTATGCCTTTTATTTTTAAGCTGTTGTCTTTTACCAAAAAAACTAGGCAAGTTAGAACAAAGAGCTAACAAAGGTATAATAATCTCTTTCTTTTAAATAGGAATTTAGGAGATTTTTCACTGATGATTCATGTAAATTACCGTTAGAGATTGAATAATTGGACAACTTTTAGTTTGCAACAACCCAGCCTTTAAAGAATTATTTAAAGCCGATGAAAATCAGATTTTTAAATAATAAATCTTTGAACTCTAGATTTATCTAACGAGATCCTAAAATCTCCCAAATATTATTTGAAATTTATTGTTTTCATTGCTTGTATGAATTTTGAGAACCCGAACTATTCTCAAGTGTATTTTATGTTTTAATTACATAGTCAAGTACTTTCTCCATGGAACATGTTCACACTACTTAAATAGTATACCGATGAAGGAAAACAGACAATTTACTGCTTTGGCACACAGGGCTCTAAAAGAAACGAGTTTGGATGGGCAGCTTGGCATAGTTGTTTGTGCTTAGTCAAGTCCAGTTCCCCTTAATAAAGCATGTTCGACATTAATTTGTGAGATCCATCAATCTTATGAGATTATGTTGACTTGGTGTCTACGCTAATCCAACTTCATCTCTATGTAATTTGGTATTTGAAAGCTCAGCTTCGCTTGAGAGTTGCATGATAGTTTCACTTGTTCCCAAGGATTGGCATATCTGTTTCACTCAGGAAGGGAGGTGGTTAGTGTAAACTATTAGGATTTGATACATGCGGCCTTCAAAATGTAGAGAAACACAATTGAAAACCCATTTGATTGATCTTCTAGTTGAAACTTTAAAATCAATTCCCTCTACTCTTCCTCAGCCAGGACTGGGCATAATGCCAAAGCAAGTTGAGGTTTTTGTGTATGAGCAGATCATGTAGTCACTATCATCAATATGATGGCTTTCTTGCTGCAGTAGCTAGGCAATCACTGATAAAAATCACCTTATTTGCCCCCTTGAGCTCCTGTCAGTAGTTTTTCGTATGGCATTAATGAGTATGTCATACTTAACTTCTGCTAATGCTTGGATTATTGTGCAAGTGGTTTGATTGAGCTATCAGAAAAGCCAATTGCAAGCTGAGCTCAAGCAGTTGGAATTGTTAGTGTCATTGGTGATTACTTGTATAAACAAGACGAGTACTTGAAATTCTGCTTTGAGATCAGATATGTTTTCCATTCCCAATGTTTTTATGGGGATTTGCTGATAGAAGTTAAAACATTCACTGCATTATTTCTCATTTTGCATTTGCCGTTGAGAAAACACAGATTGAACCCTCAGCCAGGACTGGGCATAATGCCAAAGCAAGTTGAAGTTTTTGTGTATGAGCAGATCATGTAGTCACTATCATCAATATGATGGCTTTCTTGCTGCAGTAGCCAAATGAAATGGCAGGCATGATAAAGGGCAGTTGGTCCCAAATGAAATAGTTGTCATGGTAGGCATGATTTCACTGCCCCCTTCTTTCCTCCTCCGCTCCTTTCAAATCATTCATATTGTGTATTCAATGACCTGATCTTGTAGATGGTAAAGGAGCGTCTGCTGCTGCCAGACTCTCAAGAAAATGGTTGGCTTTTAGATGGATACCCAAGGAGCTTATTACAAGCAACTGCTCTTAAAGAATTTGGCTTCCAGCCCGATCTTTTTATTCTCCTGGAAGTAAGAATTCTTGTTGCTGCAGGCATGCTATATTATTTGGTTGCATCCCATTATCTGGTTAGGAAGAAGAGAATGCGTACTTGCATGCTGATATTCTTCCCTGTACATAATTTGATGATTTCCATTTATGTTTCAAAAAACTTTTAGGATACTTTATGCAAGCCAAAGTAAAAGAAGATGTTAATGAAGATGAAAGAATTGGTTTAACAACGCAATGGCCTTGATGTATCTTCACATCCTTGGGTAGATTTCAAATTCTAAATATCGAGTTTCCCCCTTCAGCTAACCTCATGAATGTTGATTTGCAGGTCAATGAAGAGATTCTTGTTGAAAGAGTGGTTGGACGTAGGTTAGACCCTGTTACTGGGAAGATATACCACCTCAAGTATTCTCCCCCTGAGACTGAAGAAATTGCTGCCAGGCTCACCCAACGTTTTGATGACACTGAAGAAAAGGCATGTTTTGAACTTGATCTGTTTACTTACACTCATATTAGTTCAGAGGACTGTCTTCTTTGTGTCTTTAATGGGTCATTGGGTAAATGTTGCTAAGCGATAATGTTTGTTTCCTTTTTTTGTATGGCTGTATTTAGGTGAAGATGCGGTTGCAAACTCATCATCAAAATGTGGAGGCAGTACTTTTAATGTATGAAGACATTACACTCAAGGCAAGTGATAAAATACCTCTCTCTCTCTCTCTCTCTCTCTCACTCTCACACTCTAATATTATTTGCGTGTGTTCAATTGAAGACACGACAATATTATCCCAGCTATCCTAATGCTATCAGCTCCACGACCTCGTGAATAAATTATTATGTTGAACAGCTCTTGGTAAGTTGATGCAAGGGCTGCTACTAGAAGATACTCCCCAACAAGTATATGACAATGTGCATGTTGGTGGATATGCTCAAGCATTATACTTCAGATTTCTATTATTCCACATGTGTATCACCTCTGTCGATGCTTGTGCTCTATTTTAACCATGTTCTTACTGCCACTAATCCGATGCCAGCAATATTTACTGGGTTTCCTTTTCTTTTGTTAAACAACAATATGAAAGGAAAGGTGAAATGCAGAGAGTCGCTCTGTGTTATTTTGAGTTAAATACAAGCAATTTGTCTTGCATGTCCCCTATGAGGGAGGAAAATCTGCTTGTTGAGGCAGTAGATTATCGTCAAGAAAGAGTGGGAAAGAGAGGGAGGGGGAGGGAGGGGGAGAGAGAGAGGGTTTCTGGTATATGGATATGATTTGGCAGATAATGCATCTGGTATTATACTATTATCAAATCTAAATTGGAGAGCCATTTTGTTGATTTCAGGTTAACGGAAATGTTCCCAAAGAAGATGTGTATGGGTTAACGGAAATGTTCCCAAAGAAGATGTGTTTGCACAAATTGATGGTGCTCTCACAAAATTACTTGAGGATAGGAAGTTGATTTAAGGATTTCTGGCTGCATAGATAGAGGGAAGAGCTGGTGTATAACCAATAGTGAGGACTCAGGAATTATGAAAAATGGTATAATTGCCAGCCTTTATTTTTTTGCCCATATACTCAGGTTTATGCCTCAATTTCCATAAATGCTTAGCTAGTAAGTGTCCTTGTTTTCTCTTTCTTAGAATTACCACATGCTTGACATTTGATAGTCATTGTTATTATATTATTCTTTGAAGTATAGCTTGTGACAATTTGGATTTAATTTTTATGGAAACCAATTGAACAGTGCTAAATTTGAGGTCTTTTAGTCCCTAAAATACCGCGGGAAAAAAATAAAAAACTTCATGTAGAGTCTTCATGCAATTCCTTTCCAAGGACAACTAGTTTACATATGCTAGTAAGCATCATGTTGCATATGCTGGTCTCCATTTCTGGTAATTTGACCAGCTTAACACTGCTATGGATAAAGCATCCTTGAGTTTGCATTTTCAACATTTTTAAGTATTTATAAATTTGTGTACATGTTTGTGCTGTCTAAACTTGTTTGAATTTTCTCAAGTAAAGAATGTTCCAGCAAATGATAGCTATTGTGGATGACAACCACGTAGGTGTTGATGGGTGCCTGTATTTTCCCATCTTTACATAAAGTCAGCAAGTCCTGATAGTGCATTTTTATTTGATACTTAATGCTCGTTCCAGCTTTTCTAGATGATCCTGTTATAGCAAAGATTTGATCCTTGGAAGCAATGAAAATCTCTGTAGTATCATCTTGAAGACTTTTTCAGTCTTTGTAGTTGAGAAACATTCAAAGGTATCAGGCTTCAAATCCCTGCTAGACTTTTTCATTATAATTAAGCTAGAAATAGTCTTCTCTTCCAACAAATCCAACACAAACTTTGAATTGACCATCTAATTGGTGCACATGTTTCTTTCCCGTCTGTATGAACAACTTCTTGTGGACGAAGCACATGGAAGAATCTTAATACCACTCCTACTAAAAGACGATACCAAACACTTCCTACTCAACTAGCGTTGCTCTTTTCTTTCTTCTTGGAATTTATGGAACTCAAGTCACTCAACATGTTTAATTTTTTTTTTTAAATTAGGTTAATCTTGAGTTTCTCTTATGAGTGTATTTTCTTCTTTTTGAATGAGAATATTTGTTAGAATGCTAGACTCAAGAACGACCAAATAGAGCTCTAACACTGCACTTCTGTTATAAGACCAGGAACAAGCCTGACTTATTGAAGATCTTGGATAGCAAGGATCAATTTATACTTTGTTGTCAAGCATCACGAAAACTTCTTGTCAAGGATCAACACTGCACTTCTGTAATTAGGACTCGTTGGTTCTTATAAACCGCGAGGAAGCTATAGTCAGAAACCGTTCATAGACGCGTTGGACGTGTTCTGGTATGTGCTATAAGCTATTATTGTTGACATTGCATAGCGCCATGATTTCGAAGACTTCTCAAATCATTGAACCACTGGGCCAATAGTTTTTTAGAAGTAAAGATAGGCCTTTGTAAACCTACCTATATTTTATGCAAAACCTTTTTAAATCAGTCGCAATCATAACTTAAATAATTCAGCTGAGCTAAGAAAACGGGGTAGCAGTCTCCCTGTCCTTCCTGTGGTGGTTATGGTGCTATTGGAAAGGGTTGACTCCATTCTTTGGTGCATTCGTGTTGTAATGGAAGAAGTGAATTCAAATCTGAAAGTTGTAAGAATCATAGAAAGAAAGAAACTGTAATGATTTTGTGTTAGGCACGTCGTCATAAACTTTTTGCCTCATCAATGAACAAATTGAAGGAGAATTTTCCTTGTATTTGACAAAAAATGGCTTAGACTACTATTTACTATACACTCAACACACAAAAGAAGAGGACTATTTCATGGCACATGTTTGATGCCGAGCTCTAGAGAGAGATGCACATATTGACCAGTTCTTTCTGTGTTAACCTCTCATGTGGAACCACTGGTTGTGGACCGGGAAAGCGATGTTGGGTGCACCAGGCACGCCGCCAATGCCTTCTCTAGGCTATTTACAACACCAGTCATGGATGGCCTGTCTCGACCTTCAAGTGTCACACAATCTGCTGCTAAGTACCCTATGTATATCACTGCCTCAATTTCAAACGGCGTTGGTGGCGGCACTCTTGAGTCTAAAACTCTATGGATTTCATCTTGGACAATGTAGGGCACAACAAAATCCACCACATTCCTAGGCACCCTGTTTTCATTTTTGTGGATGGCCTTGAGCCCGGAGAGTAGCTCCAGCAACACTACCCCAAAACTGTAGACATCACTCTTCGTGGTCAACTGCTGGAGTCTATAATACTCTGGGTCAATGTAACCCACCGTGCCAGCTGCGCGGAGTGAGAGGTGTGACATGTCATCTTCGGGGCCCATCAAAGAGAGACCGAAATCAGACACCTTGGCAGTCCACGTGGAGTCGAGCAATATGTTTGATGACTTGATATCACGGTGGATGACTGGTGGCACTGCGTATGTGTGAAGGTACTCGACGCCTCTGGCTGCATCTAGGGCTACCTTGATGCGTGCAGCCCATGACATTAACGGTGAGTTCTCGAGCTTGTGGAGATGGTCATGAAGGGTGCCGTTGTGCACATACTCGTAGACTAACACCCGCTCATTGCTATCTTCGCAGAATCCTAATAACCTGACAAGATTCTTGTGGTGGAGTCTTGAAAGAGATTCAAGCTCATTGACAAATGCACTGTCCTTGTCCTCTTGACGCCTTGTTCCGACAGCGTATGAAGAAGTGTTTGATATCTCAGCTCGCTTGATAGCTACTTCACGGCCATCCTCTAATGTTGCTTGATAAACTGAACCAAAGCTTCCCGTGCCAATTGTTTTATCGTGTGAGAAATTGTTGGTGGCTTCAAGTATAACTTGCAAAGAGAACTCCTCCAAGTGACCCGCATTTCCCATGCTAGCCAACTGGCTCAGCCGCTTCTCGAAGACCGGCGATGCTTCTTCAGTTTGTGGGGCATGAGGTTGGCTTGGACCACCACCCTGTTCAACAGGGGCTCCTGGTCCGGTCCCATCCAAGCGACCGGAATCATGAACGCGGCAGCCTCTACACTTGCAGTACTTGAAGAGAAAGAACCCAATGACTAGCAATAAAATGAGGGAACCCACACATCCCACCACTAAAAAAGCTATCATTTTACCGCTCCATTTGCACCTCTTTTCTAGTGCAGGTGGAACACTATTACGGATATTTTTCTTGGAATGCAGGCAAATCTGTTGTCCCACGGGACACAATGTGCCAGATCCTTCCATGATACCATCTAGACCACAAGAACTTCGACAGGGGCCTGGCAATACATCCTTAAACACAACTGAATTGGGGTTAAAATTCTCATTACCCCAACAATACAAGGAAAGATTCGATTTCAGAACTCCACAGAAGACTTTTCTTTTCGCTTCAATAGTACTAAAGTAAGTCTCCCTAAACCTCTCTGGCAAACTGAAATTATCTTGCCCCCAACAAACTACTGTCTCATCAGTCCGCAGAGCGCAACTACGATTCTCCCCCAGGGCCATTGATATGAACTCACCTTGCGGCAGCTTCTCCCCTGCCATACTTCCCCAACAATCCAACTTACCAGTAAAATTTATAGCACAAGCATGCCCAGACCCAGCAGCAATTGCTCTATAGTTCCCTTTGGGCTCTTGGCCAACAACAGCATTATAACTTCCAAGACAAGCAATATTCCCAGATTCTAATAGCCCACATACGAAATCTTCACCAACAGCCATACTTGAAAAATTCTGATCCACACTGCTAGTCTTGAACTTTCTCCGTGGCCAGCATTCGAGGCGATTAGTGGCATTAACTAGACCACAAGTCACAGAATTTCCTGCTTCCAGTTGACTGAGAGCCAGGTCTTGATAAATTCTCTTGTAGGTCATGTTATTACCATTAACAGAGAATCTCCAACAAACCAAAGTTGAAGTAGCAGGAGACAAAGACAAGGATATCAAACCACAGAGGAATCCATCTCCACCAACTATGGCAGAGAAGGAAATATTAGAATTCAAAGGGATTTGAATTCCACTAGGAAAACTTGAACAGTTTAGAGAAGACTGTGTGGCACCAGGGACATGTACTAACGCACATACCAATGTTTGGTTAGAAGTTTCAGATATCGACACAGTCGAGAGGGGAGAAACGAATGGAATGAAAGAAGAAGAAAGAACGAAGTAGAAGAAGAGATGAGGAAGAGGTTGGCTAAAGAAATAACAAGCCATAGAAAGAATGGTTTGTGGGATAACTGGATACTAGTTTCATGGTGGTACACAAGACAAGAAAAGAAGAAGGTGGTGATGATATTTAGAGGTGGACTAACGTAGCATTTTGAAGATGTATTTGGATTTATGAAGAAAAGAGAGTAAAGAAACGCGGTTTGATAGAGTTCGTAAAGGAGGACCATAGACCAGGTCCTTCAAGAACATTTTTATTGAAAGACTTTAGGCAGGGATTTAGAAATCTAGAGAGAGCGTGTGGTCAATAGTTGCGAGAGAGCGAGTGGTCAACCGTTGAAACTTGAAACTCGAAATACAAAAAATAATAATAATATAAAAAAAAAGAAATGCAATGACAAAAGCAACGAAAAATAATTATTGCAAAGACGAAAACATCGTCAGGCCATACAAATGATTCCACAATTTTTTATGCGAAAAGATTAATGAGGCATTTTCGCTCTCATTTCTCAATGGATATATTCGATTCGGGTTCAGATTAATAATTATAATCAATTTAATTTTTAAAATTTTATAAACTATTAACTCCATTCATTTATTTTTTTTACCTGAACAGATTAGATATATCAATTGATTTTTTTTTCTTTTGTAAATATTCTAAGATATCTATAAGTTGAACATATAAAGTTTATTATTTTTTAATTATTAAAAAATCAATTTAACTAAAAAACTTAAGATGTTATGTGAGGTTTCAAAATATAATTTATAT